GGACCAGTTGTCTAACCTACTTCCCAGGGTCCGGGAGGGGGAGAAGTTTTTGTGCCACCTTGGAAGACAGATGGGCTAGAAATGTAATAGCAAGTAAATAAAATATAGCCAGTAGAAGGCTTCCAGGTTGATTGGTCGATTTACTTGCGTTTGTGACCAAAAGAGTAATTCATATCTTCTTATTAAGTTGAGGTGTGATGATCCCGGATGTGATCTGTTCCTTTAGTGGGAGGCTGCCTCACAACCGTGGCAGAATCCCGAGCGAGAAAAAGTCTTTTCTGTCACCAGGACCGTCTCCTGTAGGTCATGAGACTATTTGGTACCCCAGCTGTGTAATGGGGCAATTCTGTTTGCCTATGGAGGCTTCCTGATAATCCCCTCCAGATAGCCAAGATTATCAAGGAATCAGATACAGTCTTGTTCCAGGTGCCCCATCAGAAACAGCCCTCCTATGACTCCGTTCCCCTTGACTTTACACTGTGGGCCTGTGTTTGTTTTGTAGTGGACGGGATCGATCCGAACTTCAAGATGGAACACCAGAACAAGAGAACTCCTCTCCATGCAGCAGCAGAGTCAGGACACATGGACGTTTGCCACATGCTGATCCAGGTTTATTCCAGTTTTTTAGGTTTTTTTGGTGGGTGGGTGGGTGTGTCAAGAGGGTGGGTATGTTTCCTTGTCACTGCTCTTGCCAGTGCATCTCTCTGCTAACTCCCACCGCAGAAGCCCCGTCCTTGTCTAATCAACCAGTGGTTCCAGATTTTCTATTCTTCCACTTAAACAGATGCTGAGCCTGTTCTAGTTTAGAAAGAATGTATTGCTAGGGATGAGTCATGCTGATCTGGGACTTTAGTTAAGTGTGAATTGATAGGATGTTAAGGACCCCTCTGAGGTTTTCACAGGGTGTTTTGGCTCCCCTTTTAAAAGAGAGAATTAATTAACCTTTCAGCCTGTGTGGTGTAGGTTAGAGTGCCAGACTAGGACCTGAGACAGCCAGGTTCGAATCCTCATCCGGCCATAAGGCCATGTGTGTGTGTGTGTTTGTTTGTTTTATACAACACCCTTCACCCAAATATTATAGTGCAGTATAAAAACACAAAAAGCATAACATAACAACAACAAACACACCCGCTCCCTGATACATAGAATAAGTCAAATATTGCTTAATCAGCCCAAGGTAAAGAGGAATGTTTTTGCCTGGTGCCTGATAATAGGTAACGAAGGCTCCAGGCGAGTCTCCCGAGGCAGAGAATCCCCCAAATAGCAAATATGGAAGGCCACAGGTTAGCCTCCCCAGTGCACTAGATGAATGACAATGTGACTTGCTCCATTTTGCGTTGATGAACTTATCTGGTTTCGGGTCGCAGTGGCCCAAGCCATAGGCTCAGGGGAACAGGAAGCTGCATATTTCTTAGTGACACAGGATAAGTTGTTAATCGGCCATGAGCCCAGCTGTGTGACTCTCTGCAGTAACTGTTACCATGTGTATCTGTCTTGGCACAGGCTGGCGCTAATATAGACACCTGCTCTCAGGACCAGAGGACCCCCCTTATGGAAGCAGCAGAGAATAACCACCTGGAGACTGTGAAATACCTCATCAAGGCTGGAGCATTAGTGGATCCCAGGGTACTGATGGTGTCTGGATTTTTTATATCTAAGGTGGCAATGGTCTCATTGGCATGTCAGATTATGACTCAGTGCAAATGCACAGGAAACGCAGGCTCTGAGAGGAGAGAGCGGACACTTTGCTGCTCAGGTTGTTTTGCTGCTGAGCTAAGCAGTGACTTTGCTATGTCATCATCAAAACCTGGGTTCATGGTTTACATTTATCCAGACTAACCACGACCCGTAACCAAGGTTTGTCATATGCTTTGCAGCTTGTGGTCTGTCTGGAAGAGCTAAAGCACAATCCTTGGCTCTGATGACGTGCTAAACTGAACCTTATCTTTTGTCAGCAGAGTGACTGGGAGGAGGAAAGCAGATGCAATCTCCTTTCTGAGAGTCCACACACTCGTGTGTTTGTGCTGAGACACTAATTGGCTTAGTGTGACGTGCAAACCAGGACATGGTGTGGTGTTCTGCCCTCATTTGCAATGAGCTATTTGTCGCAAGATTGCAGGTTGTTTGCAATCTTTTTTTAAAAAATGTCCTAGGACAGAGAATTTTAAAGCAGTTCCGGGGCTGTATTGGCTGATTGATTGATTCAATTTCTATACCACCCTTCATCTAAGGATCACAGGGTGGTTTACAGTATAAAAACACAAAAATAAATAACATAATAGCAAAGAAAACAATATGCTGTCCCCCCACAAGGTTTGAAAGGCCATAGGTTGTTTAATTAGCCAAAGGCCAGGGAGAGGAAGAATGTTTTCGCCTGGTGCCTAAAGATATGTAAAGAAGGTGCCAAGCAAGCGTCCCAGGGGAGAACATTCCACAGATGGGGAACCACCACAGAGAAGGTCCATTCTTGTATTGTTACCCTTCAGTCCTTGCATAGAGGGAGCATACTAAGAAGGGTCCGAATCAGTTCATTTGGGGAGGGTTTTGCCTTGCGGTTTTGCAGTCCTGAGCCATTTCAGGCTTTATAGGTCAAAACCAGCAATTTGAATTGGACCCAGAAACCAATTGGTAGCGAGTGCAGTTGGGCCAGGATTGGCCTTATAGGCTGAAACCATTTTGCCCTGGTGAGTAGCCAGACCGCTGAATTCTGTACCAGCTGAAGTTTCCAAACCATCATCATAGGCAGCCCCACGTATAATGCATTGCAGTAATCCAACCTAGAGGTCCCAGAGCATGGACAACATATCAAACACACCTCTCATTTTCCCCTTTGCTGTTTCTTCCTTTTCCCTTGTGGCAAGCTGTAGCATGGATGACAACAGGCCAGTTTCTGCTCGCAGCCATTCCCTCCAGCCTCAAGATTTTGAGATTTAGTGTGTGGGATACACCTGGGGCCATGGTAAATGCTAAGGACAGAGACCTGCACATTCCACCATGTTACTCTGCTGCTGCAAGAATTGCACTGGCTGTCAATTAGCTACTGAAGGATAGCCTGATCTCACCCTCCACCACCTCAGCCTGAGCAGAAAGGTCTCCCTTGGCAGGACATGAGAATGGATACAGCAATGAGGCCAGACACACCTTGGATGGGAGGGCATTCTTCACCATAGGGGCCACTAAAGAAAATGTCTCGCATGCAATGCTGCCCCACAAACCTTACAGGGCAGCAGACCATTGGCCATGCTAGTTGTGACTGGTGGAAGCTGTGGTTTGGGAGCACCGGCTGCCAATTAGCCACCAGGCTAAATTCAAGGTGCTGCTCTCGCCCCGTATATACCCAGCCAATCAGTGTGCTCTGCAAGGGAGGGCCTCTCACAGACACCAGGCTATCTTGATCACCCATATGATAACAAGGAAAGTGTGGGGAAATCAACGTCTGTTACCCTCACCACTTCTAATTCTGGCCCTGTCCACTTCTTGCATGTGGCCGCTAGAAAGTTGCCTAGAGAGGAGCACGGCCATCTGGCTGGCAAATCTTCCCACCCCTGCTATATAAAAAAACCTGAATCTAGACTGGTTTATTCATGTACAATCCCTGTAGCCTATTAATCATCCTTGAATGGTGCCCCGATCTCTCTCTCTCTCTCTCTCTCTCTCTCTCTCTCTCTCTCTCTCTCACACACACACACACACACACACACACACCCTGCAAAAAAGCAGCCCATTTGACTTTAATTGCTAATGAGCAGGAGTAGTAGGAGAGCCAGAGATAATAGATTTCAGACAGGGTCAGCATGCCATGCCCTGCAGGTGGAGGTGAGCCTCTGAGGGATAGGGCTTAAGTTCCCTGGCGATCAGTGCTGTGTGCATGGCTGCCAGAATGAGGTGGGCATGAGGGGCTGTGCTACTGAGGTGGTAGAATAGTCTCGTGTCACTTCAGGCTAAGAAGTGGGGGAAATCACAGTTTTAGATGTGTCATCTTAGGCTCGTAGATTTGGAAAGTGACCTTAGAGGTCCTCTACTCCAACCCTCTTCTCAACACGAGATGCATCTACAGCATTCCCAATGGATGACCATCCAGCCTCTGCTTAAATAACATTCACCACCCTACCCTTAAACCAGTGCAGCAAGGAGAGACTGGCTTGGAACCTTTCTCCTTGATATACTGTACTACTTTTGCAGTAGAAAAAAGGAAAAGAAACTAAAAGACTGGTGCACAGTAGCACTTCTTGCCATCCCAGCTTTCTACCTGCTCATTCTGTTGCCTCTTTCTTCTCCTTTCCTGCAGGATGTCCCGCAATACCTCTTTAGCAAAGGGATTATCAAGGCATTACAGTCAACAGCCCCACCTCCTTGCTGTTTCCAGCCCAACAAGTATTTATATTTGCTCTGACAAAAAATGAAGTGTGACCAGTGGTGGAGCATCCACTTTGTATTCAGGAATAGGGCGCGTCAAATTTTTAAGCTTTCGGATCCCCAAATGTGGGATGCTAAAAGGTTGTAACATGACCCGGGAGTTCAAAATGTATTTTAGTAAAATTAATATAGTTTAGTTTGGCTTTATAAGTAAAACATGTGTAAAGTTGCTTAGGAATCATTTAAAATGATTGCCAAGTACCTGCAGTTGTTACTATTATTATTACTATTATTAAGCGTTACCTGATATTCTCAGAAGATAACAAATTTTTCGGTTTTCTGAAAGCAGTTTGTGTTCCTCCATCAAACGTAGACTTACCAAGCTAAATGTTGTCCAATCACCAAAATAAAAGATTAAAATTCCTCACACCCCAAAACATATTTTTAAGACCCCTCCCTCAATAAATTTGCAAAAAATTAAGTTTTGCCCCTGATTGCAAGAGGGTTTCAATCCCTGGCATCAATAGAGAAATCGGAGTCTGAAATCCTGGAGGGCTGCTGCCAGTCAGTGTTGACAATACTGAGCTTGATGCACCAGTGGCCTGGGACTGTATTGGACAGCTTCCTATGTTCTCTTTGAGAAAGGGCCTTAGCTCATGGATAGAGCATCTGTTTTGCCTCCAGAAGGTCCCAGATTCAATCCCTGGCATCTCCACGTAGGTCTGGGGCTGTCCCTTGCCTGAAATCCTAGAGAGCTTCTGCTAGTCAGTGTAGACAATACAGAACTAGATGGACCAGTGGCTTGACTTAGTACAGAACTCTGCGGTTTCTACTGCAAATGTATTGGGTTGAGGGCCTGCATACAGCTAGATGGGTCATATTATTTAGGCTCTGGCCTCCAGCGTGCTTTCTTCCTGAAATCCACACTGAAAACATACCAGTGACTTGAAGTGATACATATTCCTGCTTTTGTGTGTCCTTGTTCAGGATGCGGAAGGTTCCACCTGTTTGCACCTGGCAGCCAAGAAGGGCCATTACGACGTGGTGCAGTACCTCCTGTGCAATGAGCAGGTGGATGTCAACTGCCAGGTAAGTTGCTGCCCATGCAGTCCTTCCAAAGCATCAGGACAATGAGCCGTGTGTGGCAGACACTTGCACACTCAGAAAAACGCCCTCTCCCTAGACTCCCATATGCTGGGATAGGGGACCCTTTCAACTTTAGAGCCACACTCCCTTCTGGGCAACCTTCCAAGGGCCATGTGCCACTGGTGGGCAGAGCCAGAGGCAAAAGTGAGTGGAGCTACTAATGTTGGTTTTACCTTAGCACAGTAGACTAGTTTCTACACAAACAACCTCTCTGTCCTCCAACCAGGTGAGCAAGAGGCGCTATTAGAATTCAAGAACGTGTTCCAGCCAGGCTAAAACACTCAAGGAGGTTGCAAGGCAGGGCTGGTGAAGGGTGTAGCCTGGGGGAGAGTCCCAAGGGGCAGGACCTGAGGTTCCCCTTCCCTGCTCTGGGGTCTGGAGCTACGCAAGATAGGTATGGTAATACCACATTCTGCTGCTGGTGGAAGTGCAACATATATACGGACTGCAGCCCATTAGTAGTAATAGAACCTGGAGATGTTCTGCGTAGCCAACATTCTCCACTCCTGGACGGTCTTAATGCAGTACGGGAGCACATTTGTTTGGAGTGATTAGTGCAACAGCCTGAAGTTTGCAGGCCTGAGGTTCCCCACACCTGGGCTGCCACCAGATGGAGCTTGGGGTCTGATCGAGCTGGGTTCTTCCTACATTCCCAGGATGATGGAGGCTGGACACCAATGATATGGGCCACTGAGTACAAACACGTTGAGCTGGTGAAGCTGCTGCTGGCCAAAGGGTCAGACATCAACATCCGGGACAATGTAAGTCTTGGGCTCTGCTCTGCTTAGTATTTGGTAACGGTTTAAATTGTCAGGCCTGGTCAGACTGCAGTTTCCATCGTTGCTGGGGATGGTGGGGGTTGGCGTCTAGCAACATTTGGAGGGCGCCAGGTTCCCCATCCATACTCTTTAAGAGCCCCCTGCCCCGCCCTCAGGAGGAAATGCATTTTCTAAATAGGGACATTCTCCATTCCTTGCATGCAGTATAGAATGCTGCTCCTTAGACCCAGGGTGGGAAACCTGTGATCCTCTAGGTCAGTGCTCTTCAACTTTGGGTTGGGTCCCCAGATGTTGCGTTTATCATTCCCTCAATCTCCACCCAGTTTAGCTAATGATGAGGGATTATGGAAGTTGCAGTGCAACACCTGGGGCCCCAGAATTCATGAATACTGCTCCGCGTGTTGCTGGACTATAGTTCTCGTCATCACTGGCCGCTGGTCAACCTGGCTGCTGGGAGTTATAGGCTGGCCACATTCCCTTGGGGAGGGGGGGGAGACCCTTCCCAATTAACACTCTTCCTTGTATTGAGAACCAGGATTGGCCCAGGGATTGTGGTTCAGGGAAGAGGGGAACATTTTTCAGCTCAAGAGCAGTGTTGGGCATTATAACAAGAGCAACTCAGAGCCTGTTTACTCAGGAGTAACTTTTGCCATGTTTAGCGAGGCTTACTCCCCAGCAAGGGCTATAGGTTTGCACAAATCTTTCAGGTGGAACAGTGAGTGGGTTGGCATTTGCCTCTGATTCAAGGGTGGGGATTTTTTTATCTCGGCCAGAGGTCCACATTCCTTCTGGGCAGCATTCCTGGAAGTATATACACAAGTGGTGAGTGGGGCCAGATGTAAAAGCAGGTGGAGGAACAAAAGCACATTTTCCCTTTACACAAGAGTCTAGATTCCACACAGCTCATAAACTCCTTCTCTGTCTTCCATGCAGACAAGCAAGAGGCATGATCAGAGTCCAACAAGGCCCCTGGACTTCAAGTTCCTCACCCATGGCCTATACATATGCATTTGTCTGTGCACAGGTGTCTCTTTAGACTAATGCCAAACAGACAGGTAGTAAGGTGGCGGTGACACACAGGTGTGTCAGGGGCCCTGGTCAGCGCCAAGGTTCTACTTCTCCCATGTCCACAAGAGCATTTCTCTGGAAAGCCTGTATTTCAGTATCAACAAGGTTACGCCCTGAACACCAGGCTGCCAGAGGCAGCACAGAGCAGACACAACCACTTCTGTTGCCATTGCACACCTCTGCAGGATGAGGCTCATTTGCTGAGTCTCACTGAGATGGGGGAGCAGAGCCCTCAAGGAAAACACTCTCTCGCTCCAGGGCAGCTGCTAACAGCTTTGGCCTATGATGTGATAGGGAAGAAGAGATTTGGTCTTGTTTCTGTTCCTCCACTCCCACCCCGTGAAAGATTTGTCCTAGTAGAGCCCTTAGTAATAGCCCAGGAGGGGTTCCAGGCAGCTCTCCAGAGCTGAGCAACAGTAGAAAAATCCACAGGCTCAAATGATAAAAAAACCCTTTTCTGCAGCAGGCCAATCAGTATTAAAATCTTTCCAGATCTGGAGGGAAACTGCAGCCAGGAGCAATCAAGGGTTGCCCAGAGGCAGCCTCAGACTGAGGATGGTGGAGGCACTGCTGCCTCCCTCCATCCCTCTTCAAATTTGCCAGCTGCTGGCCCCCCTAGGGGGACTTGTCTTTTCGAGACTTCCACGGGTGTCCTACATGTCTGGGTCACACAGTTCCTTTGCTAATACCTTCGTGTCTGTGGCAGCGTCTCCCCATGGATTCACCCAGATCATGCTGCGACCTGCAGACAAATGACTCATCTGTCCTTATAAGGCAAGGAGGGCAGCCCTCGCTTCAAGCTTCCCCCTCCCCCACCATCCTCAGTGAACTCGGAGGCGGCTGTTGCTGGGAGCTCCCTGCCTCACATGCCTGAAAGCACAGCTTGAGCAGCCTAGAAAAGGCAGCCCACGTACTGCAGGGAACAAGAGCTTAAGGACAGGGTAGTCCCCACCCCCCTCCCTGGTGCCAAGGATGAGCACACTAAACTTTGTGTCCTTCCCCCTGCCAAATTTCCAGGAGGAGAACATTTGTTTACACTGGGCTGCTTTTTCGGGGTGCGTCGACATTGCGGAGATTTTGCTGGCTGCTAAGTGTGACCTGCACGCAGTGAATATCCACGGAGATTCCCCACTGCACATCGCGGCCCGAGAGAACCGCTACGAGTGTGTGGTGTAAGTACGCCCCACCCCCCAGGAGTCCCCCCCTCTCCCTTCATTGCCCTCCTCATGGGCGGGGGTGAGGCTCCCGGGATGGACGGGCAAGGGGAAAGGTGATGCCTTGTGGTACCTTCCCATTTCTTCCACTTGGCCTCTGCTGAACATGATAAAGGTAAAGGGACCCCTGACCATTAGGTCCAGTCGTGGACGACTCGGGGGTTGTGGCGCTCATCTCGCTTTACTGGCCGAGGGAGCTGGCATACAGCTTCCAGGTCATGTGGCCAGCATGACTAAGCCACTTCTGGCGAACCAGAGCAGCGCACGGAAATTTTGTTTACCTTCCCGCTGGAGTGGTACCTATTTATCTACTTGCACTTTGACGTGCTTTCAAACTGCTAGGTTGGCAGGAGCAGCTGAACATGATAGAGGTGTATAAAAGCTTTCCCCAAATGCACAATTTTGTACACTAAAAAGTTTTTCTTAGTCTCACAACACTGGAAAAGCTGAGCATTGCAGGAACAGTCTTTATCGTGCCACGCCTACTGTACTTCTCTGTTTCTTTCACAGCTGAACCAAAACTCCTTTAAATTTCTTGCTTATTGTGGCTTTAAAAGGGGTTGGGGGATGACACAGCACATATTTGGAATTCGCTTGCACAATAGGTAGTGATTATCACCAGTTTGGATGGCTTTGAAAGAAGGTTAGACAAATCTATAGAGGATGAGCATGTCAGTGGCTGCCAGCCACAATGGCCACATTCTCCCCTCCACCGTCAGAGGCAGTGTACCCGAGAATTGCAAGTTGAGAAACCACTGTTGTGCTCAGGTCCTGCTTGTGGGCTTGTTGTCAATCTTACTTGTTAAATGATTGCACATAGGGCAGACGTTCAAACATTAAATCTCAGTCTGAGAATTGTGCATTCAAAGGCCAAGTGGATGGCCTCAGGCAAGCTACTTGAATCTCAGCATGAAACAAGGGTGTTTATGTAATATATACTGCTTCACTGTCAGGCAGTATGCCCATGAATACCAGTTGCTGGGAATCGCAAGCGGGGAGAGTTCTGTTGCACCCAGATCCTGCTTGCAGGCTTCCCATTGAGGCATCTGTTTGGCCACTGTGAGACCAAGAGGCAGGACCAGAGGGACCTCTGGACTGATCTGGCAGGGCTGCTCTTGCGTTCTTAAAAATGCCAAATGTCAGGAAGAGAGCAGTGCTTTGCTATTTGCTTTTGTAAAAAAACCTCTGGCATCGGAGCAGTACATTTGACTGCCATTCTGCAAACAGTTGCAACCAATGATTGCTGCGATTTCTGCCACTGGAGGGCAAAGCAGCCTTAGGTTGCCCCCTAAGTGTTTATCAAGCAGGCAAACCTCCAGATGCTAGTGTTATTGCTCATGTATCAGGTCAGACTACCTGGGCCTTTAGGGATGGGGAGCCTATGCTCCCTCTGCCCCCAAATGCTGTTGGACTACAGCTGTCACCATCCCTAACCATAGAGCTGTGGTTGTCAACCAGTGCTCCTCAGCAGCCTGGTGTGCCTTGAATGATAGTTAGGTGTGCTGCAGGCAGCACCGGCCTCCATCCCTCCTTCCTTCCCTCCCTCTTCTGATGCCCCCTTGTGTCTCTGCCTCCCAGAAGCTCACACAGCTGTTCATTGCAGTGGCCCTGGCTACAAGCTCCCCAAGTGAATGGTGCCATAGCTGCCTCTTGAGATGAGTAAGTTGCTGGCCTCACATTCAGCTGCCTTTGACCAGGGGCATCCACTTCCCAGGTCCCTGTGAGGTGGCGTGAGGAAGTGCCTCTCTTTGGGGTGCCTAAGGGGGTGCCTTAGAGACCAGGGGCTGCTGGTGTAGTGGCAGCAACCACCACTACTGCTGCAAGTACTCCCAAGGAGGGGAGAGGAGAAGAGGCAAAGCTGAAGGAGCCCTCCACAAGGGAAAGAGGCAGGAGGCTGCCAGCTCTGCAGGCAAGGGGCAACATAACTGGGCTCTTGAGGTGTGAGTGTTTTTCTTCACAGGGGAGCAACAGAAAGAATGTAGTTGGTCAAGGGAGCCATGGACTCAAAAGGGTTGAGAACCTCTGCCATAGGCCATGCTGACTGTGGTTCATGGGAGTCAGGCGTCCAATAACATTCAGAGAGCCTCCCCTGTGATAGAGCAGTTGGCCACCTAAAACATGGAAAGGGCTTCCTCTTAGACAGGTCCTTTTCAGCTGTGAGAAGGGGAATGGCTGGAGTACAGTGGTGGAACACATGCTTGGGATGCAGAAGAAGGTCCCCCAAGTTCAAGGGCTTAGTGCAGCCTCCCCCAATCTGGTGTCTTCCAGATGTTGGAATGCAACCCCTCTCCCATCATTCCTGGCTACTGGCGCTGATGGGAGCTGCAGTCGAGCAGCACTTAGAGAGCACCAGGTTGGGGAAAGGTAGTGCACATTTTGAAGTCCAGTGCCTCTTGATGACTACTCCTCTAGCCACCCAAGGAGAGTTAGGCAGGCAACTGTATTGATCCATTATATACATGGATAGGCTTCATTGTGTATAATATACAGCAATTCTGCACAATCCTGTGAAGAGTTATCTGGGTATATGCTCCATTGAATTCAGTGGTGATTCCTTCTGACTGCACAATTCACAGTAGAGGGACCTCACTCCAGGCCTCTCTGTCTGACCACTGGAACGCTCTCTGCGTCATTCCACTTTTAAGTTGCCTTATACTGAGTCAGACCATTGATTCATCTAGCTTGGCATTAACTAATCTGACAGCTCTCCAGGCTTTCAGACAGGGAGACTACCCCAGCCCTACCAGGAGAGGCCAAAGATTGAAACTGGGACTTTCTGTGTGCAAAGTAGATGCTCTAACCACTGAGCTATAGTGGTGGTGGTGATGATGTTGATGTTAATTTTATTTGTACCCCATCCATCTGACTGAGTTGCCCCAGCCACTCTGGGCGGCTTCCAACAAAGTAAAAAAACACAGTAAGATATCAAACATTAAAACTTCCCTATACAGAGCTGCCTTGAGATGTCTTCTAAAAGTCATATATAAAGATAGCTGCTAGATGACTTAGGGCTACATTAGTTTCACATCTTTTTGGCTCCCGCCCTCTTTCCCCCCCATCTTGCAGCCTCTTTCTTTCACGTGGTTCGGACGTTGCCCTGAAAAACAAAGAAGGCGAAACTCCCCTGCAGTGTTCGAGCTACAACACTCAAGTCTGGGTTGCTCTGCAAATGAACAAGACCATCAAGGATTCGATGCCTGACAAGCCCATCCCGGTGGAGAAGATACTGAGCAGGTGTGAGAGGTTTGCCTGCCTCACCCATAGGCCACTGCCCTCTGCCGATGCAACTCTGGAGTGCCCTGGTGACGAGCTTAATGTTGGGCAACCAAGTGTGTAATTCAAAAAACAGGGATCTCTGGCGGCAAAGGGTCATTCAGAGAGTCTTGGCTACAGATTTTCGAGTTTGGAAACACCAAGATGAAATGTCAGTATGCTCTGCCTCCCCAGTGAGAGACAGCGATGCTTCTGAATATCAGTTGCTGGAAACCACAGTAGTGGGAGAGTGCTCTTGTGCTCTGGTTCACCATGCAGGTTTCCTACAGGAGTCCAGGAGGCCACTATGAGAAGAATATGCTGGACTAGATGGGCCATTGTCCTGGTCCAACAGGGCTCTTCTTCAGTAATTAAAAGCAATGTCATACTGGTTCATTTATTGCTTTAGGACAGGCATAGGCAAACTCGGCCCTCCAGATGTTTTTGGCCTACAACTCCCATGTTCCCTAGCTAGCAGGACCAGTGGTCAGGGATGATGGGAATTGTAGTCCCAAAACATCTGGAGGGCTGAGTTTGCCTATGCCTGCTTTAGGATGACTCTGAGTTGTACCCAACGAAGTTCTATTAGAGTAGACCCATTGGAATGAATGGATTTGTGTTAGTTGCATCCATTGGTTTCAGTGGGTCTACTCTAAGCAACACTAGCACTGGAGACAACACACAGGGAAGTGCTCTCGCTTTGTGTATCTTTTATTATTGTAGTTTAAAAGTGATTATTTTCTTCTCCCTGCTGCGACAGAGACATTGCCCGGGGTTATGAACGGATCCCGATTCCTTGCGTCAATTCTGTCGACGTCGAGCCCTGTCCTAGCGACTACAAATACGTTTCGCAGAATTGTGTGACGTCCCCCATGCACATTGATAGGAACATCACTCATTTGCAGGTTAGACAGGCTGCTTGCAGCTACCTTTTTGATCTTTCCTTTTTCTTTTCTTTCTCCTGCTATTTATATGATAGCCCACTTTGCGCACATTTCTTGGGGTAGCTTATGAAGAAAAGAAAGGAAGGCATGCAATGTCCAGAATGAATGAATGAATCTTTATTTGCATCAGCCATCGGCCATAGCAATAAAACAACAAGACGATATACAGTACAATGTCCAGAGTTTAAAACATAGATTGAAAACCCCAAAGCAGCATTCGGGGTGCAAAAGCCCTCCTGAAATAAAAAACTGTTTGGACTTAACACCTGAAATTTCTCCCCTTTCTCCTCATTGTGAAAGAGGGTGCTCTCTGCTCAGTTCACACCTGAGCAGCCTGCTCGCTCTCCTCCTCCTCTTTCTTGTCTACTCCCTTTACTCCTTTGCAGTTTGTGTGGGAACTGATGTACTCAGTTTTTCTTCCTCTGTCATCTCCTTTTGGAACTTAGGAGCTCATCATGGAATGTGAATATAGAATAGCCAGTTCCACCTACCCTCCTCCCAATGTCTATTATGGCTCAAGCTGTGGAGCAGGTTAAGAGTGGGACTGGAGCAAAACGGGGCTTGTAGACAGTCAGATGATTGGCGGCAGCTGCATAACCCTGCGCACAGCACTTTGGAAATGCTGGCGATCAGCTGATCATTGGGGATTGTGGAGTGCTGTGCCCTTGCAGCCCTGAACAGGCAAAGATGAGTCCTCTTATGCCATTGCAATGTCAGGTGATTGGCAGGCAGTTTTACACCACCTGCCTTTCAGGCTTGGGCTGCAGCGGGTGAAGGAGGTCAGGATCCACTACCACTTGGAATCCAGCTCCTCAGCCCTGATCTAGAAAAAGATTGCAGAATACAGGTGTCCATCCTGACAAATGTCCATTGCCTTCTTAAAGCCCTAACCCCACTAACGGGGCCCCAGATATTTGGTATTTCCCCCTCTGACAGAGAGCTTGAGCTCCAGAACCTCAGTTGGCTTTCACAGCAGGATCCCTCCTCCTTTTTAATATCCTTTTATCTAGCACTACACACTAGTGACATGTAAAGCCTACATGATGCTTCTTTGTAGATCAACTAGCTGGGCCCCACAAGCCCTATGGTGGGTCAGCTCCTTGCATGCCAGCATCATGCAAACCTTTGGATTATATGCACACACATACACACGTGTGACTTGCTGCTTCTTGCTGTTTTGCTTGCAGTACTGTGTGTGCATAGACGACTGCTCCTCCAGCAACTGCTTGTGTGGACAGCTGAGTATGCGCTGCTGGTATGACAAGGTGAGGACGTTTGCCTGCTTTCTCAGCTTTGTGGATTTGGAGGGGGTAGGTGGTGGGACGGGGGGTGGGGATCACTACTGCTCAGGCCTAGGGGGAGCTCCTCTTCCCTGTTAAGAGAATCCTCAGATGGGTTATCTCTCCCACTTGCAAATTAAGTTGTTCTTACCCCTCCAAGTTCCACCCTGCCTAGCACAATGTGCAGGGTCAGCTGAAAGACATAATCCTTTCCCCTTGAAATGCATAGTTTGATTTCCTAGGGGAGTCACAGAGGGTTTGATTTGGACTCATTGCTTCTGCAGAAGAATCTATGAGAATGCTTGTGGGCAGTATTGAGGGGGAAGGAGGGAGTCATACAGGTGAGATGTTGGGGAGCAACAGCAGCACTGTAGCTCTTTGGGGGAAGGGGAGCAGAAGCTTTTTCAGAGGCAGGGCTGTAGCTCTGTGCTTCTGCTTTGCCTGAGGAAGGCCCCAGGTTCAGTCCCCAACAGCAGCTCCAGGTTGGGCTAGAAAAATAACCCACCTCTGAAGGCTTGTAGGTAGAGCTCAGAGTGACTCTAGTCAAATGCTTCAGAGCTGCTGCCATTCAGTGTAGACTTCTGAGCTAGGTGGACTAGTGGTCTGACTCAATATAAGATTAATTCCTATCCTTACTTGAGGAGCAGGCCGGATTCCCTGGACCAGGATAGACCAGAGCTGTGGCATAAGTCCTCATTCCTCATTAAACATTGCAGTTCTTCCTGTGCACAGATGTGCACCTAATGCATCCCTTGTCCACTTGCCCTCTCTGCAGGATGGCCGGCTCCTGCCGGAATTCAGCACAGCCGAGCCGCCTTTGATCTTTGAGTGCAACCATGCCTGCTCGTGTTGGAGGAATTGCCGGAATCGTGTGGTGCAAAATGGACTCCGGTAAGACAGTTAACCCTGTTTTTTTTGGGGGGGGGGCTGCTCACCCTGTTCTGTGACTGAGAGGCAGTGGGGTATAGTGGTAAGAGCAGGAGAGCCTGCAGCCCTCCAGATATCATTGGACTCCACCTCCTTTCAGCCCCAGGCAGTGTGACCCAGTGATCAGGAACGATGGGAGGTGTAGTCCAGCAAATATTTGTGACTGCTGGTTTGCAGTGCTGGACTAGGACCAGGGAGACCCAAGCTCAAATGGTGCGCTGGGGATAGTAGAATGCTTCGATATCAATGGGTCTACTCTGAGTAGAACTTGAATGGGCACATCTCTCAGCTTGGGATTTAGAGAAAATTGCTTATCTTGAGGGAAGAATCACATGCACCATCCTGAGTTCTTTGAAGGATATAGTTACCTAAAACCCAAGGAGAGTTTTTGAAATGGAAAGGAAGTGGGGACCAGGAAGCCCAAATGCCTTGGATCACTGTTGTGAACCAAAGCAAATTCTGAAGGTTGACTAGGATGAGGAAATGAGCGGATTGTTAGAGCTGCTGGGATATTCTTGTCATGCCTTACCCTGACCCTGCTTAGCATTTCCTCTGACAGGGCCTTAACAATTAACAACAATTATTGCAGTAATGGTACTTTTATGGTATATGATGTGAACTATGGTATATTTGAAAGATGCACTTTCATTCCATCTGAGTCTGTTGTAGAATTTGTAACCTTTTGCTCACTGTTCTTTTGATACTTGCCTCTGTCAGCTGGGTGGATGCCCTCAGTATTACTATATGTAATTGGATCATTACTGTATTTTGATCACCCTGTTGAATGTGTGCTTTATCACCTCCCTGATCTATATGATTTCCCTTGCCTTTTTTTTTTAAAAAAAAGGGGGAATCCTGGGTGCTTTTAAATGGAACTGTTCTATCACAGGTATTTTAATTATTTGTTTATTATCTCTCCTACATGGTCGATTTAGGCAGAGGGAGGGAGAGCGGCCATCCCAAGAATCACCCACTAAGCTTTGTAACTGGGCTGAGATCAGAAGCTGTTGCAAGTCCAGCCCCTCCAGGCTCTACTAGTTGCTTATCTCATCCTAACCTTCGTTGCCAGGTTTTGAAGCCCTTTGTGTGAGGCTTTAAGCTGTACTTTTGTCATCTTCATTTCCTGTGTTGATTCGAGAAATGCCCTGGGCCTTCCTTTTAATGTATTTTGAAGGCGTTTTCAGGGCTTTGGTGTAGGAATGCTGAAATTGAGGTGCCGGCAGCGGAGGAGGGGGGACTTCCAGTTAGGCTGACGCTGCAGGTGTATTCTAAGGTCTTCTTGGGATTTCTACAAATCCAGCGGAATAGCTTAAAATGCATTAACATTTCCCCTTCATCCCTCTGCTCTTTTCTCCAGTTATAAAAATGTAGCTTTGAAGCGGCCCATTCCACAGCATTCTGTTCAACTTCCGGTT